ACCGCCGTCATATAGCTGGAATATTGCTAAGTGCAGCGTTAAACGACAAACAAACAAACAAACAAAAGGTTACGCCACAGGAAGCGAGGGAGACATCTATCATTTGGTATAGGACTGATTCGTTGCCAGGTGAGATTGCAGGGCTTTCTGAAGGAATGAGATTTTCTAGCAACAGTCGTCTGTTGCAGTTGAGTTAGACGAAGGTGGTGGTGTCATCCGAGTTGGTGGAAAAAAGCGTCAAGCTGAGAAAATACCTGACGATGTGAAGCATCCTATAGTACTTGATCCTGAGGAACACGCCATTGCATAGTGATCATCAAGGATAATGACACCCGTCTGCATCAGCTTAAAGCTGAGAATCTATCAATCTGGTTCCCTGGGTATGCTGCGCTGGCGCTGCAGCACTGAGGGCCAACGCAGCATACCCAGGGAACCAGGCTGAGAATCTATACGCCCACATGAGACGGAAGATTTGGATTACAAGAGGCAGTGAAGCTATCCGGCATCATCAGAGACTGTGTACAGATAGTAGACGGTGGCATGCCAAACCAGATATTCCCAGAATGGCTAAACTTCCTGTTGCCAGGCTCCGTTTGTTCAAACCTCCATTCTACTCCAGTAGTCTGGACCAGTCAATCCAGTGATTGATATCATAAGCATCGATCCAAGCAATTGGGATACGATGCATCAGCCAAGTCAGCGAGCCTGACAACCCGATCCCATTAATCGCCTCTTACGACAAGCATAATCGCCTTTTACGGCAAGCATTGGTTGCTGAAGACCTATTCTACCCCGCATCTTCACGGGTCAATTATCCACATGCATTCAACCTTTCTACTGCACATTTCTGTACATCACTTGCTTGATAACGGTGTTGGGTATGTACACCGAAACGTCGCATTCAATGTTATCTCATTGTGTTCTGTCTGCGGAGAAAGTGACTGCGAAGGTCTTTCTTAATTTGTTATCCCACATCCGCCATTTGTGTTTTGGAAAAACAACATTTGATAAATATAAAATGGATACAGTTACAATTATAGTCAAACCCCGTTGTGTCCAAGTTCGATGTGTCGAACTTATAGTTGTCTCGAAGTAATTTTCAAAAATATATTTATGTAACTTCTGATGTGTCGAAGTTACGGTTGTCTCGAAGTAATTTTCAAGTACCCAACACCCAGCTTCAACTTCCGGCACAAATTTTCTGTGATAAGTCGACATTTAATTTTCGCGTTGTTTCTTTGTCGCATATGTTTCGAGTTCATTTTTCGATTTTGTCGAACGTCGGATAACTCGAAGTATTACGTAGGTCTCTTTAACTTCGGCACAAGGTGAGGGACACCAGTTCATAGTTTAATGCCAGCTTTTCTATGTGTCACAAAAGAATTTGTGACATTTGGATCACAATCTCTACGGATTAGCGATAATGCAGTTTTGTATGTATGATAACGGTGAAGGAAGTGCCTATTGTTTTGTCAACACAAAATGCGCCATGCATATTAGAACAATTTGAAATAAATGTGACTGCTTCGTAGATGAATTATCAACCCCCTGTCCAAAATGTTTTTGGCATAGGAGTGGCATTCGACAACGAGATCCTTCTTAAATTGGTAGGGGCGGTGGGGTAGCCTAGTGGTTAAAGCCTTCGCTCGTCACGCTGAAGACCCGGGTTCGATTCCCGACATGGGTACAATGTGTGAAGCCCATTTCTGGTGTCCCCCCGCCGTGATATTGCTGGAAGATTGCTAAAAGCGGCGTAAAACCATACTCACTCACTTAAATTGGTAATAGTAGATATTTTACGTGCGCCTCACATTGTGATTGACACTAGAGACAGGGCAAGGACTTTCAGTTCGATGGGACCTCAATTTCAAAGCGTTTGATACTTCAACTGTTGTTAGTCAGCAACGTACGCCCCAGTTTTCGGCTAAGACTGCCGTGAAGAGCCTACGTCAAGCTCCTGTCTAGTTATTTCAGTGTCCCGTCTGACATAAATAGCCAGATAACTGAAATATTCCCCAATTGCAAGCGATTCCACGGCATTTGATTGGCTAAATAAGTATTTATGGGCGTACTCATCACCCCTCACCCCAAGTCAACCTCTGCCCGTGCAGCAATACAGATTTATAAAGACGCCGTCAAAGCCCGTCTCCTAGTCTGATCCTGAGACACTGTCCGTTGCAATGCGGCCCAGTACCCAGCCCGCCTCCTCGCACCTCTTGGGAAGACTGCCAAGTCCTTTGTGACAGTTTCGTCTCAATTCTGCAACAGTGAGTGAGTGAGTTGGATTTAACGCCGCTTTTAACAATATTCCAGTTATATCACGGCGTGTCAGCTTAATGTGGGAGGATAGCCCGAAGTGATGCAGGCCTTAGACGTTTACCACTTCGGTGAAACCCACGAGCACGTGTATGGTGCGTCCAAATCTGCACAGCGAATTGCGGCGCCTTAGACCACTGGGCCACCCATGCCCCCGAATTCTGCAAGAAGATTCACGACATCCCCCAACCAGGCACCTCAATCAGCTGTGATGTTGTCGACCTGTTCACCAATGTACCCCGGGACGAGGCCACTGATATCATCAAACCCGCATTGATAAAATCCACCTTTCCTGGCCACCCGCCTAGCAACTGACAGCACTGCCCGGCTTATACACTCCTGTATCGGTTCCACTGCACCTAGGGAGGTAATACCTGTCAGGCATTCTGTCCACCACCTTACTGATACAGCCGTAGTAGGCATTCTGTCCTCCACCTTACTGAAACACCCGTAGTAGGCATTCTGTCCACCGCCTTACTGGTACACCCGTAGTAGGCATTCTGTCCACCACCTTACTGATACACCCGTAGTAGGCATTCTGTCCACCGCCTTACTGGTACACCCGTAGTAGGCATTCTGTCCACCGCCTTACTGATACACCCGTAGTAGGCATTCTGTCCACCGCCTTACTGATACACCCGTAGTAGGCATTCTGTCCACCACCTTACTGATACACCCGTAGTAGGCATTCTGTCCACCACCTTACTGATACACCCGTAGTAGGCATTCTGTCCACCGCCTTACTGGTACACCCTTAGTAGGCATTCTGTCCACCACCTTACTGATACACCCGTAGTAGGCATTCTGTCCACCACCTTACTGATACAGCCGTAGTAGGCATTCTGTCCACCACCTTACTGATACACCCGTAGTAGGCATTCTGTCCACCACCTTACTGATACACCCGTAGAAGGCATTCTGTCCACCACCTTACTGATACACCCGTAGTAGGCATTCTGTCCACCACCTTACTGATACACCCGTAGTAGGCATTCTGTCCACCACCTTACTGATACAGCCGTAGTAGACATTCTGTCCACCACCTTACTGATACACCCGTAGTAGGCATTCTGTCCACCACCTTACTGATACACCCGTAGTAGGCATTCTGTCCACCACCTTACTGATACACCCGTAGTAGGCATTCTGTCCACCACCTTACTGATACACCCGTAGTAGGCATTCTGTCCACCACCTTACTGATACACCCGTAGAAGGCATTCTGTCCACCACCTTACTGATACACCTGTAGCAGGCATTTTGTCCACCACCTTACTGATACAGCCGTAGTAGGCATTCTGTCCACCGCCTTACTGATACACCCGTAGTAGGCATTCTGTCCACCACCTTACTGATACACCCGTAGTAGGCATTCTGTCCACCACCTTACTGATACACCCGTAGTAGGCATTCTGTCCACCACCTTACTGATACACCCGCAGTAGGCATTCTGTCCACCGCCTTACTCATACACCCGTAGTAGGCATTCTGTCCACCACCTTACTGATACACCCGCAGTAGGCATTCTGTCCACCGCCTTACTCATACACCCGTAGTAGGCATTCTGTCCACCGCCTTACTCATACACCCGGGAGGAAAGCCCGAAGTGATGCAGGTCTCAGACGTTTGCCACTTCGGTGAAACCCACGAGCACGGGTATGGTGCTGACAAACCTAGAAACAAAATCGGGGCGAACCGGGATTCGAACCCACAACACAAATTGCTTCGGAATTAACAGATTCTAATCCACCACGTTTCTCCTTAATTTGCATGTTAACATATAAAATTGAATGAGTTTTAGATTTTGCAGATTTGACGTTCATGTTACAATTTCAGTCGTCAGATGAGCATACTCCTTACCAAAACAGTGAACATAGTTCTCATTCTCACCTCTGACAGGGGGCACGGATGGCCCAGTCGTCTAAGGCGCCGCGATTCGCTCTGCAGAGTTGCGTCCCTTGGGCACGCCCGGTTCGCCCCGATGATGTTTCTAGGTTTGTCAGCACCATACCCGTGCTCGTGGGTTTCACCGAAGTGGTAAACGTCTGAGGCCTGCATCACTTCGGGCTTTCCTCCCACATTAAGCTGACACGCCGTGATATAACTGGAATACTGTTAAAAGCGGCGTTAAACCCAACTCACTCACTCACTCATTCCTGTTTTTTCAAATCTTTGCAAATCACCCGCCAAGTCCTTAAAGGTTACCACAGTAACTGACATATGGCCTAACTCATAACGTTTTCTGATTGCATCAAATTCCACACTCAAATGGGTGGGATAGCTTGGGGTCGTGTTGGTGTGTGCGGCCTGAGTTAGTTGCCAGTATGTCTGGAACAAAGAAGTATCCCGACCCATTGCAAGAATATCCCTTAGTGTAGGCCAAAGGACGGTAGGGTAGCAAAGTGGTTCAAGCGTTCGCTAGTCACCTAACAGGCCCGGCTTCAATTCGCTACATGGGTACAAAGTTCGAAGCCCCTTTCTGGTGTCCCTCGTGGAGACATTAATGGGACATTGATCAATGCGGCGTAAAACAGTACTCACGCACTCGTACATCCCAACTAGCATATTCGTGAGTGTCCGCAAAATCGACTACAAAGACTTAAGCTCAATGTAATCGCATGAAACGTTTCAAAGATAATGCAACAAAAAAGACGACTAAAGCTTGGCTATAAAAGGTTATTTATTAATTCCACTCTAACAAGACATATTCTTATATTATGGTATTGGTACTAAAATAATTATTTCGGAATAATAAGTGTCATCATACACCGACGGCTCAGATCATTGCTCAAAATACCGGATGGATATTTACATAATGAACTTCATAGCACGTTGTTCTCAAGACAGGAAATAGAATAGATCTAAACGTACAAGCGGAGTTTTTGTGGACATAAAACTTCCTGAAGCCAACATCATGGATATCCTTTAAGATCTTCAAGATCTTTATGCAATTATCTTTGTTACCGCAACCCCCATGGTATTCTATCAGCAACTGTTTGACTTTGAAGAGCTCGCCAGATGTCGTCATATCCGGCAGTGACGGCCACTCAGAAAATTCCACGTCGATCTTGAGGACATCTATCACCTTCTACATATATGCAAACAAAATATACCGTGCTTAAAAATCATTCCTATCTTGTCAATATAAAACATCTAGAAACATGATAAACGTTTCATGGGAAGTGCAATCAGCCTCTAAAATGCATTTCATTATTGTCGTCCAAATATAATTGGAACCATATGTGGAGACCCTAAGACATGTCGGAGCATCCAACTTGTCGAGTGATATTTATTCCCCTAGTGTTGGTTATAAACATGTCGCATGTATAACTTGGTTATAACATAGCTTTGACGGTATAACAGTCATATCACACCATTTCAGCATAATTTGGAGGGTGATAAAGGCTATCCTTTTAGAATTTCGTGAGCTAAGGGCAGTGAATTACGGACCGCACTGAAACAATAATTCCATGTCATGTTGCACACATGAGGATCTCGTATAGGGTCTGATTGACTTGATATAAGGGTTCTCCTTTCGGGATACTAGTATGACATAGTGGCAGCGTAGTACGGGCCTTGTTCCACTGGGTCATGCTCCTCTAATATGTTGTACCTTTCAGATCCTAGTATGACATGGTGGCAGCGTATTACGGGCCTTGTTCCACTGGGTCATGCTCCTCTGATATGTTCTACCTTTCTGATCCTAGTATGACATAGTGGCAGCGTATTACGGGCCTTGTTCCTCTGGGTCATGTTCCTCTAATATGTTGTACCTTTCAGATCCTGGTATGACATAGTGGCAGCGTATAATGGGCCTTGTTCCACTGGGTCATGCTCCTCTGATATGTTCTACCTTTCAGATCCTGGTATGACATAGTGGCAGCGTATAACGGGGTTGTACCACTGGGTCATGCTCCTCTAATATGTTGTACCTTTCAGATCCTAGTATGACATAGTGGCAGCGCATCACGGGCCTTGTTCCACTGGGTCATGCTCCTCTGATATGTTGTACCTTTCAGATCCTAGTATGACATAGTGGCAGCATAGTACGGGCCTTGTTCCACTGGGTCATGCTCCTCTGATATGTTGTACCTTTCAGATCCTAGTATGACATAGTGGCGGCGTATCACGGGGTTGTACCACTGGGTCATGCTCCTCTGATATGTTGTACCTTTCAGATCCTAGTATGATATAGTGGCAGCGTATCACGGGCCTTGTTCCACTGGGTAATGCTCCTCTGATATGTTGTACCTTTCAGATCCTAGTATGACATAGTGGCGGCGTATCACGGGGTTGTACCACTGGGTCATGCTCCTCTGATATGTTGTACCTTTCAGATCCTAGTATGACATAGTGGCAGCGTATTACGGGCCTTGTTCCACTGGGTCATGCTCCTCTGATATGTTGTACCTTTCAGATCGTAGTATGACATAGTGGCAGCGTAGTACGGGCCTTGTTCCACTAGGTCATGCTCCTCTGATATGTTGTACCTGTCAGATCCTAGTATGACATAGTGGCAGCGTATTACGGGCCTTGTTCCACTGGGTCATGCTCCTCTGATATGTTGTAGCTTTCAGATCCTAGTATGACATAGTGGCAGCGTAGTACGGGCCTTGTTCCTCTGGGTCATGCTCCTCTGATATGTTGTACCTTTCAGATCCTGGTATGACATAGTGGCAGCGTATTACGGGCCTTGTTCCACCGGGTCATGCTCCTCTGATATGTTGTACCTTTCAGATTCTAGTATGACTTAATGGCAGCGTATTACGGGCCTTGTTCCACTGGGTCATGCTCCTCTGATATGGTGTACCTTTCAGGTCCTAGTATGACATAATGGCAGCGTAGTACGGGCCTTGTTCCACTGTGTCATGCTTCTCTGATATGTTGTACCATTCAGATCCTAGTATGACATTGTGGCAGCGTAGTACGGGCCTTGTTCCTCTGGGTCATGCTCCTCTGATATCTTTTACCTTTCAGATCCTAGTATGACATAGTGGCAGCGTATTACGGGGTTGTACCACTGGGTCATGCTCCTCTGATATGGTGTATCTTTTTAGATCCGAGTATGACATTTTTTGCAGCGTAGTACGGGCCTTCTTCCACCGGGTCATGCTCCTCTGATATGTTGTACCTTTCAGATCCTAGTATGACATTGTGGCAGCGTAGCACGGGCCTTGTTCAACTGGGTCATGCTCCTCTCATATGTTGTACCTTTCAGATCCTAGTATGACATAGTGGCAGCGTAGTACGGGCCTTGTTCCACTGGGTCATGCTCCTCTGATATGTTGTACCTTTCAGATCCTAGTATGACATAGTGGCAGCGTATTACGGGCCTTGTTCCACTGGGTCATGCTCCTGTAATATGTTGTACCTTTCAGATGCTAGTATGACATAGTGGCAGCGTATTACGGACCTTGTTCCACTGGGTCATGCTCCTCTGATATGTTGTACCTTTCAGATCCTAGTATTACATAGTGGCAGCGTAGTACGGGCCTTGTTCCACTGGGTCATGCTCCTCTCATATGTTGTACCTTTCAGATCCTAGTATGACACAGTGGCAGCGTATAACGGGGTTGTACCACTGGGTCATGCTCCTCTAATATGTTGTACCTTTCAGATCCTAGTATGACATAATGGCAGCGTAGTACGGGGTTGTACCACTGGGTCATGCCCCTCTGATATGTTGTAGCTTTCAGATCCTAGTATGACATAGTGGCAGCGTAGTACGGGCCTTGTTCCTCTGGGTCATGCTCCTCTGATATGTTGTAGCTTTCAGATCCTAGTATGACATAGTGGCAGCGTAGTACGGGCCTTGTTCCTCTGGGTCATGCTCCTCTGATATGTTGTACCTTTCAGATCCTGGTATGACATAGTGGCAGCGTATTACGGGCCTTGTTCCACTGGGTCATGCTCCTCTGATATGTTGTACCTTTCAGATTCTAGTATGACTTAATGGCAGCGTAGTACGGGCCTTGTTCCACTGGGTCATGCTCCTCTCATATGTTGTACCTTTCAGATCCTAGTATGACATAGTGGCAGCGTAGTACGGGCCTTGTTCCACTGGGTCATGCTCCTCTGATATGTTTTACCTTTCAGATCCTAGTATGACATAGTGGCAGCGTAGTACGGGCCTTGTTCCACTGGGTCATGCTCCTCTGATATGTTGTACCTTTCAGATCCTAGTATGACATAGTGACAGCGTATTACGGGCCTTGTTCCACTGGGTCATGCTCCTCTGATATGTTTTACCTTTCAGATCCTAGTATGACATAGTGGCAGCGTAGTACGGGCCTTGTTCCACTGGGACATGCTCCTCTGATATGTTGTACCTTTCAGATCCTAGTATGACATGGTGGCAGCGTAGTACGGGCCTTGTTCCACTGGGTCATGCTCCTCTGATATGTTGTACCTTTCAGATCCTAGTATGACATAGTGGCAGCGTAGTACGGGCCTTGTTCCACTGGGTCATGCTCCTCTGATATGTTGTACCTTTCAGATCCTAGTATGACATAGTGGCAGCGTATTTCAGGCCTAGCGTCACACAACCGAGTAAATGTGTTAATTTTCTGATCCTAATATCCCGATGAACATCTTAATCAGGCCTTTCTTTTGGGGATTCTTGTATGACTTAGAGACAAAGTATTATAAGCGTCAGAATCCTTTGAACTATGGGTAACCCACCTCATAGTATTTTCCTTTTCGGATCGAACTTTGACTAATATAACAACCTCACTCACTCACTCCCCAAGGGGCATTAGGGGTAGCGCATGTAGAACTATGGGTAACCCACCTCGTAGTATTTTCCTTTTCGGATCGAACTTTGACTAATATAACAACCTCACTCACTCACTCCCCAAGGGGCATTAGGGGTAGCGCATTTAGAACTATGGGTAACCCACCTCGTAGTATTTTCCTTTTCGGATCGAACCTTGACTAATATAACAACCTCAATCACTCTCTCCCCAAGGGGCATTAGGGGTAGCGCATGTAGAACTATGGGTTACCCCCCTCGTAGTATTTTCCTTTTCGGATCGAACCTTGACTAATATAACAACACTTCAAATTGATAATGCCACTACCTACCCCTGTGTGGTTCAGCATTTTCTTGAAACTACGAAGTGTGTGAAGTTGCCACGCTCCTTTGCGTTTGTCAGTCCCACTGATCCCCAACTTCAGAAACCGAACATGCTGGGACCTCTGGTGACTGGCCTGTTTCATGCTGAAAAATATCAACACGCAGTTTAGTTGAAGGTTCACATCCAAACAGGTGCTAAGGCGGCAGTTGTCAGGGGAAGAAAATTTAATGAGTTGTGACCTGGATGTTTGTGTGTGATGGAGTTGGACAACACGGATAAGTGCTCATGTTATCAACCATGACGTCCTGGAAGTAAATGGAGTCTGAACACCCCAGTGATTTAAATTGTGATACGCTCCGTTTGGGCGCAAAGACAAACAATGACCCAATTCACTGAGTCTGACCGCCAGTTCTATTAAGTCGCCTTTTACAACAAGCAAAGACAACTGTTCTAACATGCAATACACACTGGGTATACGCAACAATGTTAATATTCACATAACAGGGACTCACCTTGGATCAAAAGAAAATACGTCACATTCATAGGATTTGGCTGTATCGTCGTCAAAGGAAAAATCACTGTTGATTCTGAAATGTGTACAAAAAGATGAGCAACCTGTAGCGTCGGAGAGAGCAAGTCGAGATGGCTAAAGCAATATCTCCATCACTATATGTCACTTCTATTACGGCGTGTCCATGTCATGGTGCTTAACTAACGATTACGCTGCCATCCGAGAGTCACGAACTCAGACTGAATGAACCTATACAGGAGCACGGGGCAGAAAACACCGCCAATGATCCCGATAAGTTCACTGTGACCAATGGCCGATTTAAGATTTAGTACTCCGAGAAGCATATCTGGCCTGATATTGCATGGATGGTGAAAGGATTAAAAACGTGTTATGAAACATTTACTACCAATCTCCTCTAATTAAAACTGTTACTTCTGGTATCCCAAAGCACTAATACTCAGCATGCTCGCTGGGCAAATGTCAAAATCACAATCTCTTATGAGATCTAGACTACACTTAGTAAATGAAAAAGGGGCGGTCGGGTATCCAAGTGGTTAATGCGTTCGCTCGTCACGCCGAAGACCCAGGTTCGATTCCCGACATGGGTGCAATGTGTGAATCCCATTTCTGGTGTCCCCCGCCGTAATATTGCGGGAATATTGCTAAAAGCGGCGTAAAATCAAAAAACATGTCTTTAAAATGTTTCTTTGAAAGAACCTTTCCTCTTCTGTTGTTTTCATAATCAAGCAAACTAGACTGGGTTAGTTTGATCTAGACTTGCCTAGGCTTTTAGTAAATTTTTTTACCTAAAATATATAGACTAGACTCCACAGTCATAGACAGGAACTACATGAGATCCTGTCGTTATGGTTGCAGACTCTGATTGTTAATATCACAAATGCCGTCTACAGTCAGATAACATGGTACTCCATATTCATTTCAAATATCCTCTCATAATTTGTCACACCTTCTGAGACCGCCTCCGTGGTCTAGTGGTAGAGCGTCCACTCGGAGAGCGGAAGGTCCGGGGTTCGATTCCCGGCCGCGTCATACCAAAAGACGTTAAACGATGGTACTTGTTGTTACCCTGACTTGCGCTCGGCATTAAGGGGCTAAAACAAGGAGTGGTCGGCTCGGAGTCAGTATACTGTGTCTGAGTGGGGTATTCATGTTAAACTGCGGCATGGTATCTCAGTGAGCTGGCACTATAAATCGGCATCAGCCCGGACTAGCCACACAAACACACGTACATGCACGTCGCTATATAAGTGGACGCCACGTTAAACCCCATTTCACCCCACCTCACACCTTCAGAAAAGATAACCGAATTTCCCAATGAAGTGAGTGAGTGAATGCTTTCCGTCAGCCATATCATTCCCAATGAAACTACTTCTTATGAATTCATACAAAATTACAAAATGGGGTGTGTAGAATTGTTTGGACCCCTTGTATTACATAGCACTGGGGCTTTGTCAGCATATAGCATTATAAACCGAAATAAATTACATGTACAGATATGGATTTACTTTCTTTTTGTTTATATTGATATCAGTCTTGAAAGGTTTTCTGTTTTAGATGGTGTGGATATAACTGAGACACCATGAACAGGGAGTAAACAGCGACAAAGGGACGTATCGCTATCGGATTAAATTTCGGCTGTTTTCGCTGGTTCCCGGCACTATTCCGATTCTGTTTTCATGTATTTCCGAGTGACCGCGGGAACCAGCGAAAGGAGTTATTCCTATGTCTTCGTGAGCACCGACCAGCGAGGCACACACTAATTATTAGTTCCACAATATATATATATATAAAATAAATAGGTGCTGGACAAGTTGGAAGACGTTTTTGTTGGTTTACGCTTTTTCCGTTTTTCAAATTTAATTTTGGTCACACTATTGTGATGAGGTATGTCCTAAAGTATTAAAATATGCAAAGTTGCTAAGTTGATTTTACTTGCCCTTTTAGACCATCATGACAAATTGCCGCGTTTGCACTTCAATAAGTTCTTAATGAACAATAAAGGCCCAAGAGATTTATTACTTATCGCCTAAAAGGCAACTAAAGATCCGAGGGAATTTAACATTTAACATACATAAGCACGAAATGACAAGGGGCCGGTTCCTCACTGTATAACCTCGTCACAGTGTGGTTCATGTGGGAGGACAGTCCCCAATGAGCCAGCAGAATGCCTATGGTGCTGACAACCAAGGGATCGCAATATGTACGCCAAATAGAATCCGTTTCCGTGGATACCCTAAACTGGTTATTCTTCTGCCTTGACAATATACATTTCTCTGATATTCAATGGACAAAGGGACGCAATTCTACACAGCGAATTGTGCCGCCTTTGCAACTTGCTCCCCAGCAAATCACCACAGTCATTCATTTTGGTTTTGAAATTTATTCAAATATACAATTCATTCATTTTGGTTTTGACATTTATTCAAATATGAATTGAAATGATCAAACAGTGGATTCGAACAGAAACTTTCCGAACGGTCAAGTCTGTTATGTTTGCAAGCAACCATAAGTAAGGGAGGTAACTCTAAATTACTAGCTGCCGAGGCCACTGACAAAGCATGATATTGTACGAGCGCTTCAACTGCTGCCATTACGAAAGGCCCTCTATTGCGTCATAACAATATCATCTACATAAGTATTATCAAACTCACCCAAAGGAATATACAATGCAAGGTTTTACTGGACGGTACTCCTTGTCGTCGCATATCTCCCATCCCCCATCTCCGCACTCGCCCATTCGCAGCTTCCGGTGACATACGATGTCAGTGTTGTCAAGGTAACTAAATTTATAATATATAAGTGAATGTAGTCAATAGTTGATATAGGTTGCCGATACACAATATGTGGCATAGAGAGACGTTAACGTGATCTATATTACATATTCTCTCTCTAAAAGCGGGTTAAAATCTCCTCCTCTCTCTCCCTCCCTCTCTCTCTCTCTCTCTCTCTCTCTCTCTCTCTCTCTCTCTCTCTCTCTCTCTCTCTCTTTCACACATCACATCACATACCTGTGATACGTTCTGAAGGCGGCCTCGGCTGACATTCTCTCAATCTCACTCTTGGACGGTAGGACAACCTGAATATGCACACAGCACATGTTTAAAGGGTAAGTTCACACGGAAATGAACCTAATTTTCTTGTACTTTTTCCACAATAAAAGTGTTAACCTACATGTGTCATAGACAAAAATATAAAAATATCACAATTAATTAACATATGTTTTGCATTAAATCGATTTATATTTTTCACATTTACCAAGTGTTCTATTTCCATAACAAAAACACCATGGCTTATGCCCCTTGCAATATGACGTCATTGGTGCCAATTGATAAACATTATGACGTCATCATGCTTTGTTAGAGCCGCTTCACGTGGTGTAGGTACAGGTGTGTGATTCTAGCGTCTCAGATGCCAGCCAGCATAGTGTTATGCTGAGTCACCACTGCGCCGGAGTGTGTCGTAGGCCATGTTGTTTTACCGAAAACTTGTACTTGATATCTTTTGCATTCAGAATAGACAGGGACCCAGTTGAATTGGCACCAATTACGTCATAATCTAAGGGGGATAACTCAGGCCTGTTTAGCTCGAAAAACGAAGGCATCATAACGGCATATCATTTTCACACTATTGTGAGCTTCCTACTTTCACTGTGAAAAAAATGAGTGTATATTTTCAAACACGGATACTAACTAATTCTAAAATTGCGTTTTGTTTAGAAAAAGAAAGAAAGTGATTTTTGCGTGTACACTTCCCCTTTAATATTACATGACATATAACCCATTATGTGTATAACGTCAGCGCTGCATTCTCGAGGGTTCGGTGCTTGTGTATTGTCAGTGTGCCTCGAATCTACCCTTGTCACGGTCTAGTGAGCGTTCTGGTCATTTGCTATATTTCCGACACCGCTCGTGAAAGTCCGGCGGTTATCGTTTTCCAGTGTCATTCTAAATTAGAGATAAAGTGGTCGGACTATTTCATTTTCTGATTCTCTCATTGTTTCATGGCACACACATACCATATAGGGACATGACGTATGTTATCTCTTATATGGTCGCTGCTATATTCATTTATTGAAAATGTTTTTTATCTATGATTTCAAGGGGCACGGGTGGCCAAGTCGTCTAAGGCGGCGCGATTCGCAGTGCATAGTTGCGTCCCTTGGGCACGCCAGAAACCTATGATTGTGGGTTCGAATCCCGGTTCGCCCCGATTATGTTTCTAGGTTTGGCAGCACCATACACGTGGTCGTGGGTTTCACCGAAGTGGTAAACGTCTAAGACCTGCATCACTTCGGGCTTTCCTCCCACATTAAGCTGACACGCCGTGATAAAACTGGAATACTGTTAAAAGCGGCGTTTAACACAGCTCACTCACTCACTATATGTACACTCAGATATTTCTCATGTACTCTTCAAAAAAAGAAACGCTAAGCCAGATTTGTGTGAGGTAGGAAAATACATTTATAAGAGGAACCGTACAAGGTATTGAGCCAAAATCATGTGGAGAGAACACTTGGTGATTGTAGTCATCACAGCTATCAGTACATAGGAAAAGTCCAAGGTGAAGGTCAGCTACCATCAATAACGCTTTTGTCCCCCGTTGGAATCGATAGCGTCCTGACATCTCCTGCCCATGGAAGAGACGAGTATGCGAATCACATCCTGGGGAATGGTAGCCCACTCGGCCTGCAAGGCAAAAGCCAACTGCTACAACGTCTGGGGTTGTGGTTGACGTCTATCCAATTCATCCCACAGGTCCTCTATCGGGTTCGAATCCGGGATCTGGGGGCAAGAGGAGAACATCAACGTTGTTTTTGTGTAGACAGGCTCCTGTGATCTGTGCTGTATGTGGTCGAGCGTTGTCCTGCTGGAATACACCGTTGCCGTTGGCTACAATTGGGAGGACGTGTGGTAATTCGTTGATGTATCGTTGAACCGTAAGATTTCCTGGAATACGGACCAAACCTGTCCTGCCATGATGAGAGATAGCCGCCCACGCCATAACGCTACCCCCACCAATCCAACCCAGTCTCCGGCGTAACGTTTGTAGACCCGTGCTCTTCCATCCCCTCGACGG